AAAAGATTTTTTTTTTTTTACAATGGCAGCGATTTTTAATAATAATAATAATAAAAAAAATTTAACAAAATCGTTGCTGTGACAACGATTTTTAATAAAAAATAATTTTATTTTATTTTTGCAAAATCGCTGTTGTGGCAGCGATTTTTAATTAAAATTTTTTTTTTAGACGAAATCGCTGCTAGATTTTGTCAGAGGAAAATCGCTGCTGACGCAACGATTTTACCCTTTTGGTTAGAAAAAAAAGTGTTGTGCCCTTTTGGAATTTTGACAATTTTTTTTGCCCTTTAGGCTCCGGACTCGTAGAAACATACATACAAATACTTCTTTCCCTAATTATAGCAATTGTATATTACTATCATAGTTTAGACAATGATGACATATTAAATAGTTTGTCTTAATTTAGGGGGCACAATATTATTTAAAGTGATTAGAAAAAAATTGATCGTAATTTTTTGTAGGATTTATAATACTTTTTATATAATATCTAAATATGTTAAATTTATATTGATAATTTGATCATCTTGTCACATAAAATGGGATGGGCAAAGTAGAATTTTATCGAGAATTGCTTGATTTGGAATAAACACCATACGAGGATAACTAAATATTTTCTTGTTAGAACTAATCGTATTTCATTACCCTTTTAAAAAGAGTTCTTATTGAATTATTTGAAATTCATGTCTTTTTTTTTTTTTGAATTAAAAGCCAAATAAAATCAACTGGTGTGTAAAAGTTTAATAATTAAGACTTATAGTATTACCAGATATCATATAGTATAATTTAATCAGTCAAGATTTGATCAAGAAATAAGCTGCTATATGTGGTTCCTTTCCCAGTTTTAATTAATTTCTAAACTCTGACTTGTCCCTTACAACACCTTCAGCAGGAAAAGTCTTAATTGTTGATTTATTTTTTCCTTTTTGGCAACAAAAGTTAGTACTCCTTTGTACTACATATCTATAGATATGCTTAATACTAGGTTACTCAACCTGCAATCAAATATGATATGTAAGTATTCAATTTCTCATTAGATTGACGCAAGTTTATATTTTTCATAATAAGGGTCAACATCAATTTCTACTAAACAAAAAATTACGAACTTTGTGTCATTTTCAATTCTCCCTCCCAACACCCTCTCAATCAAGCTCGTTACACCGAGTTTATCTAATGTTGTTTGCATCTTCTATGTAGTTTGTAAGGTATTGTATAAAAGCGGAATTACTCCTTCAAGTTTCCCAATTATCCAATGTAAGTCTTAAATGATCAATTGATCATATCATTGGGGTTAGGCTAGGGCTAGCTGGCGCATATAGTACATGAATTATAGGTAGCATGGCTGTAATACTACGTATATACTTTTTAATTTGGCATTGACAAATTGGCCGATTTAGTCGTTATAGTTTGGCCAATGTCACTTTTAATCTGATTTTGGACTGCAGCCCTATATATTTTTCATCATTTATAATAATAATAATAATGCTCTAGTATAAAATAAAACCAAGGTACTGAAAACTACAAATAACTAAACGTCAAGAGGAAAAGAAAAGTTGAATACGGAATCCAATTCATTAGCTTTTTATCGATGCATAAGATAAAGGTGCCAAAAAAAAGTTTCAAACATTATTTTCAGTATAGGGCCGGGTCGGTGGAACTTGCGGCTAAGGATCGAACCAAAACTCAATTATTCCCTACGTCTATTCTATACGTCTTAGTTTAACTGAACATGATATTTAAGAAAATAAGAATATAATTTAAAATATGTATGTAAAATGTTACTGAAAAAAATGTAAATTGAAAAAGAGGAGTAATTGTATATTCAAATGAATGATGAGTAGCTGGGAATAACTGTCTAGTGGCCATCATTGATCTGGCAACTATAAATCACGTCTGCAACGTATAGCTTGACCTAAGAATAACCAAATGGCATATCATCTGTCTCTTTTTATTTACTTACTCCTATTCCTAGTTTCTTATTGATTTTCCCCACCTTTTTTGAGTTTTATATACCCTATGTACATCAATGCATAAATACTCTTCGATATCGTTTGACTTAACAAAAAAAAATTTAAGAAAGAAAGAAAGATTTTTAATTTTGAAATTTGTGACCCGAAAAATCTTAGATATTTATGTGACTAATTATTTTAGTAAGGGTAAAATGATAATTTTAAAGTGAAATTATTTCTAATTATAGAAGACGATATTTTTTTTTTTAGACAAACTAAAAAAAAAAAGGTGTACTTTTCTTCAGTACTCTAATTTCTAACCTAATTTGGTAGTTATTGGAGTTGTAAGAGAACCCTACTTCCCTTACACTCTCGTGCTTTCCTTAGATCATAAAATATCCTCTCTATTTGTTTATGTTTATGTGATGAAACTCTTTTTTTAAGTCGGTCCTAAATGACACTTATTTATATTTCATAATTCTTAAATTTTGTATCTAGTTAAAAATAGTCGCATAAATACTCACAAATAATTGGGAGTGAAACGGTATTACACGCAAGAAACACGTATATACAAACTGTTTGGAGGTTTATAACCACTAAAACGTGGTGAAATATTTGTTCACAAAATTATGTAAATTAAAAACTCATGTTTCCTTTAATATTGCCTCAAGAAATTTAAGTATTAATTTAACTTTGAAGGGTTTGCATGTCGATAAAAATGTTTAGATTGAGATATTGCTTTGTATTAGCAGAGGGAAAAAAGAATCCAAATTATACCTCTTTATTTATTTAATTTCGTTCAATTAATTTAGTTAAATTTATGTCATAATTATGTATATATGAGTTGTTGGTCCGTGCAAAATCTCTCTGCAATACAAAATGTAGTGTGGTCCTTGATCTACATATATTGAGTGGGCATTGTAAACAAAATGATCAGTTTGGTCCCTCCTCTTTAAGGGAAAGTCTTCTCCTCTCCCTTTCATCTATGTACCTAATTTCATGTCATGCTTTATTTATTTTAATTTCTTCCACTAATAAACATTATACTTGTGTGTTCCTTTTCTTCTTCTAATTATGAATTAGCTAGCAAATTAATCTATATAAGGGGAAATCCTTGCATACATCTTCAAGAAACTATAGCTCGGACAAGAATAAACTACTCTTTTAGTCTCAATGTATGTGTGATGTTTGGCAGGGGTACTGAAGTTTAAGAAGGAAAGAGTTTTTTTAAATTTGTACAATATCCCACATCAGTGAAGGGTGAGATCCATGGCTTCCTTGTATAACATTATATATACAATCCTCCTACTTTTGAGTTGAGTTAGACTTTTTTTTTTTAGTTCATGAGTTTACATGATATTTTTTGGGACTGAATGTCCAAAAATGTAGGTGGTCATGAAGATGATATCCCACATCTGTGATGGATAAGATCTTTGGATTCCTTGTATGACCTTGGATATTCCGCTTCTATTCGAGCTAATTTTTGAAGTTGAGTGAGACACAAAGTATATTTAATAATAGAGACAACCGTGTGATAATAAATCATTTTATGGGAAAAATTAAAAAGATAAATATGACAAATAAAATAATATTACTTTCTCTATCTAACAATTTATCTATAAAATGTCTATTTTACCCTTAATAAAATGATTTACAGCCACACAAATTTCTATCATTCATTTTGACCACAAGTTTTAAAAATCTTCCTTTCTTTCTTAAACTTTGTGCTTAGTTAAACTACCTCACATAAAATGAAACAGAGGAAGTATTATTTATCCATATCGTATTAAAACGCTTAACAAATGTGAACCAACCATGAAAATATTTTTTATAAATATCAAATTCATTAAAGGAAAATTATATGTGCTACAAACATGTTGGAATTGAGATACTTATTGTGTTGAGCTTAATTTGACACAAATATAGAAACAAATTACTTTGAGTTAGTGATAGATATTGGTTAGACATTTAATTAATGACAATGGCAAGGCGTGCTTCAGTCGACCCATGTGATATATACGAATTCAACCTTTTGTAGTTGTCGATAAAGCATCAACCCCAACTTTTCTCTACGTGAATAAATGGTCCCCAACATTTTTTTATTCTATTGTCAAAAGATAAATTTAATTCATAATCAAAATGCCTTTTACTAATTAAGGACTTGTTTCTAACTGCTAATTAAACTTACCTCCTATTTTTGGAAAAATAGCAAAGAACTAACCACGATAGCTCAGCATGCGTGCTGAGCATTTGATAAGAAAATTGACGGGCACAAAATAAAATACTTTTCCCCTTTCAATTTATTTTTTGTTAGTAATTTTTTTAGTCCGAATAAAATGTATTTTTTCATTTTTGATAACTATTTAATTAAAATTTTATATATATGATATAATCATAAAATTAAAGAGCATTTTAATACATTTAATATATATTTATTTTAAGACACAAGATTCAACTAAAATGAGAACGATTATTCATAGGGCGTAATAATTATCTGTTAGATATGCCTAAATTATACGTGGCAAGCTGTGGTCCATTGCTTTCTAATATGTAAATGGTCGGTTGGAGTCCAGCATCTTCTCTCTTACTACAATCAAAATTTCCATATATTGTTTCTTCTCTGAAATCAAAGAGAATTTCTTCTTTGCAACTGTTTGCTGAATTGGGTAAGTCTGTTTACTCTGCTATATATATACTACTAAATTCTAGGGCATCCCAATTTTCATGCTTTTAACTATGATCATTTTTTTTTTCACTTTCCTAATTAGAGCCAATTTATACAAAGAGAGTATATCTTATCCTTATGAGTATTAATTTCTAAGTGCTTATAACACTAGCAAAATTTCATGATTTCCATTTTCTCATGGATATATATATATACCAGTAGTAATATATATCTGCCTTAATTTTCTTTTAATTCTAACTTATTTGAGATTAACGCGTTGTTGTTGCAGAGGGTATTATAAGTCTTATAATTTCTTGTCTATACTAATTAGATATTTTTTGTATGAAACAGAAATCAGGAAGAAGACAGAAGAAAGAAAGTGAAAAATTAAACGTTAGGGAAGGTGTTTTTTGGGTCAATTATGAGAGGCATTATAAGATGATTACAAGAGAAGAGAAGGCAGCGAATGATCATGAGAGCAAGGCATCTTCGTCTACAACATCATGGACAAGGTTAAAGGATCCAAGAATTGTTCGTGTTTCGCGAGCATTTGGAGGAAAAGACAGGCACAGCAAAGTTTGTACTGTAAGAGGGCTAAGAGATCGTCGTGTAAGGCTTTCAGTTCCTACTGCTATTCAATTATATGATCTTCAAGACAGATTAGGGCTTAATCAACCAAGTAAAGTTGTTGATTGGTTGCTTGATGCAGCTAAACATGAAATCGACGGATTGCCTCCCTTGCAAATTCCTCCTGGAAGTTTGAACCCTAATCTTTATCCTATGTTAGGAATTGGAGGTAATTCTCATCAAATTACTAATAAAGAGGGTCTTAATAATAAGAGCATCAATTGGGACGTTCCATTGGAACCACCTAATAATAATAATAATAATGCTTTGGGCTACAATTCCAATTTTTTGAAATGGGATCCTTCAAATTTATCCTTAGCTCATTCCGAAAATCCATTATCTCAAGATATTCATCACAACTTCAATTTAATGTCTAGTATGCCATTAGGTTCACATCATCAAGTTGTTGTTTATCCACCAGGATTGCCTCAATTTTTCCATCAGCATAATATTGTTGGAGCATCGTCATCATCAGAGTTTGATCCCAAAGAAATAAACTTCCAAATGTTGAGTAATAATTCCGGTTCAGAAAATCCCATGTCAAGTAGTACTAATTCCTTTAGACATTCTATTGACTCCACAAGCCAATCTATAAGACCTTTCCATTTTCTACCTTCTCAAAATTGTGACGAGACGGAGCCCTCCAATTAAGACCATTTAGTTCCTCTCTGCTCTATATAACAACTTAAGTTTTTAGACAAAGTACGTATTGGTTATAACATGACACCAGAGCAGACATATTATTGGTTGATCGGATGTTTCATTAAGCTATTCAACTTTCAAGATCAGAGCAGGTCATCAACTGTATTTGCCTCGGGTGAGTACTGAATAATTCGATACTAGCATAATATATATAGTAGTATATATAAAACAACAATTGTATGTTCTTTTGGTCATAATTATTCCTATATATGAGTTCTATAGCTATAAAAACTCATGATTGGATTGTTTGGGATCAATTATTGCTTCAATGTACTCCAATTTCAAAATGTATTATGCAATATAAAGTTGTACGTACGGTTATTTAGAGACTATATATATATATTTTTGGCATTACAGTTCACAGTGATGAAGCTAGTTATGGTTTCATGCAACATTTTCTAAATGCATAACCCTAGCAAGGAGCCCTAAGCTAGTCATGGCTTCTTCTTCTTTTAAAATTTCAGCATTTTGATCTTTTAAATGAGTTTATGTTTTGTGCATGGACAACTTTTAAGTGTTAGGTTAAGTTCACTAGTGGCAGAGATAAAAATGATGAAAGAGTTCAATTGAATATACTCCGTTGGAAAATTGTATGTTGTATATAAGTAATAGAGTAATTTTTTTATGTCTAAATATAAATTGTTGAAACCCCAATATTTTTTTCAACCCCCTTATTAGTTTTTTTCTTTTCAATCAACTGAAGTTAACTTGCTACATAACTGATAATTCTCTATATCAATCTGGCTAAATTGTACTGCTATTTTAAAATGAGTTTATCTTGACCATATTTTCTTCAAATATACTTCTTTTATATTTTAGATTGTTAATGGTTGTAATTTATACTTTTGATATATTTTTCTGAATTATCATGTAAATTTTATCATATTAAAAAAAATGAAGATTATATGTTTAAATTCACCACGAAAATTAGTCAGTTTGGACCCTCGTACTCCAAACCCCAGATATGGTAGAGTAGTTGTTGTTGCTGAAGAGAAGGTAAAGATATATAGGGATAAGAGTAGATTTAGTACAAAATGGAAGGGTGTTCGTTAAGTTGGAAAGAGACAGATGATAGATTGAGATTTGAAGTATATAAATAAATTCTACTACTGCTATATGTTATTTTTCCTTGGGATCCAACAAAAAATATACATGTTGTAAGCTTAAAATGGAGTGAAATGAAAAGATAGTTTTGTGGTCCTATTAATAATTCATGAAAAGGATATGACTAAAGAAGATGAAGAGATCACTGAAGAAGTGTGGTACAAAAAGATAATTAGGGTTTTGGAAGCTTTTTCCATCTTTTATTTTTATCTGTGTACGTAACAAAAGAAAAGAACAAAAAAGGACCACATGCATGCACTGCTTTCATATAGGTAGGTCCCCATTTGCAAATTTGCCCCTCCATATAATATAATAAATCCAATTTTCATTTAGGGTTTAGTCTTCTTTCACTTGAGTAATTAATTATTTCTATTTATTTCTGGTGTTTTATATTAGTATTGAAGCCTGATTATTTTAGAGGTTTGTTGGGTAGTAGGACCCCATTTGGAGGGTGGGGGGAGGGAGGGGGGGAGGCGGATAGTGCTCCCTATACCAATGATTTTTTCATACTTTTGGCTCAAATCCGAAATCTGTAATTAAGGGAGGTTTAGTCGCATTCACTGTAGTATATCTGTTAGTAGTTCTATTTTAGTTTCAAACAAGTTTAATGGATTACTATAATGTATGAATTATATAGGGAGACTAATAATAACAAGATTATTTAATGGGTATCTTCTTCTTCTTTTTTATTTTATATATATCAGATAATCTTAAATAGACTTTTATTTGTAATTGTAACCTTAAATTTCTTAAAGAACTTTTATTTAGGAATTAAGAAGCTTGGGAAAAGGGTATTTTTGTCTTTTGATTGTTTTATCCCGGGATTAGATGATCTCGGCTTTGGGATTAAGCTTTGGGATTACTTATATCAAAATAAAAGATTCAATCAAACATAGAATAAAATAATTCATATTTTATTCCAGATTCGTATACAAAACAACCACAAATTTTTATTTTTATTTTCTCTTCAGAAATCATGTCAGCTCAAATGTCATATATACAGTCACATGTCGTCTTCTTTTTTTTGGCTGTTGCTTCTAATATAGATAGATGATCACTAGATGTATGTATAGCTAGGATATACATAACATCTTTTTACGATAATAATGTACCTATTACTAAACTACTTTATTTAGCCTTTAGCTACCTAACCCTAGCTCTCTTTTCAACTGTAATAATACTAATAATACAGTACAATATTGTTAACAAATTAAAAACATAGAAATTTATTACTAGCGCTAGTCTATGATCAAGGGTTAGTTGATGCTAGCTACGAGTAATTAAAATACTATCGTCTCTATCTTATTGATTATTAATTACCCTATTGATAAGGTGTGATTAATGCTAAATATACTTTACCCATCCAATTTTATGTGTGGTTCATATTTGACTTGACACATCACTTAAAAAATAATTTATAAAAATGATAAATTTACAATATAACTTTTTAAATATAATAAATTGAATATTTTGGAAAACTCATCGGAAATGAATTGTAGTACGTAATATAAAGGGTAAAATATGAATAAAATGGTTAATTGTCTCTTGGTTTTTAAAATTGGACAAGAAAAAAAAAGTGAACAAATAAAAATGAATGAAGGGAATATTTGCAGTTTGACATCTTTCATATCTTTGTATGATTTTGGGAAAAGGCATAAATAAGAACTATATGAACTTAATTTTTTCACACCTCTAAACTATACGAGGAGCTTATTACTTCCCTTGAAGTAACTTGGGGGCTATAAAAGGAGTCCGGAGCCAAAAGGGCCAAAAAAATTGTCAAAATTTTTAAAAGGGCACATCAATTTTTTTTAAAACAAAAAGGGCAAAATCGCAGGACAAAGCGATTTTCCTTTGACACAAAACGAAAAATCGCTGTTGGGCAGCAATTTTGTAAAAAAAAATAATAATAATTAAAAATCGCTGCCACTGCAGCGATTTTGTAAAAATCTTTTATTTTTTTAATTAAAATGGCTGCGATTTTAAGTCGGAATTTTTTTTTCCTTAGACATCGCTGCAGGGGCAGCGTTTTTCATGTCTATTGTTAATTATTAATAATATAAAAATGATAAACAAGACGGACAGTATGCTCAATAAAATTGTTGAAGCATGAGGAAAATTGAATTATATATCATAAATAATAATAAAAGAATATTATTTTCTTCTAACAAAAGTTGTCGTACGATTTTCTTCTAAATAATATTCTTTTATTATTATTTATGATATATAATTAAATTTTCCTCATGCTTCAACAATTTTATTGAGTATACTATCCGTCTTGTTTATCATTTTTATATTATTAATTATTAACAATAGGCATGAAATAATTGCACTAGGCATGAAAAGCGCTGCCCCTGCAGCGATGTGTAAGGAAAAAAAAAATTCTAACTTAAAATCGCAGCCATTTTAATTAAAAATAATAATAATAAATTTTTTTTACAAAATTTAATAAAAACAATTTTTACAAAATCGCTGCCCTAGCAGCGATTTTTAATTAAAAAAAAAAATTACAAAATCGTTGCTAGGTTAATTAAAAAAATAATATTTGTTTTTTACAAAATCGCTGCTAGGGCAGCGATTTTTCGTTTTGTGTCAGAGGGAAATCCCTTTGTCAGGAGCGATTTTACCCTTTTGGTTTTAAAAAAATTTGATGTGCCCTTTTGAAAAATTTTGACAATTTTTTTTGCCCTTTTGGCTCCGAACTCGCTATAAAAGTCTCATATAGTTTAAGTATGGAACTGTCAATTTTTCAAGAACATTTTTATAATTCATACATTCCTATATTTTTTAATAGTCTATGTTATATATATATTGTTGGTGTAAGAATTTTTTTAATTATCATGAGGTTTTTATATGTAATCACTTTATTACAAATCACACATTTTAAAAAGGCTTTACCATAAATATATTTTGAATAACTTGACAATGTGCATAAATCTTCACACTGATAATTTACATTACTCAAACCTGATTATGAATATAACAATTCCAGAAGAACCGAGAAAATGATAAAAACAAAAGATCCAAACTGGCTCAGCTGCTTCAACCTTTATACATAATTTGAAAAATATAGTAATTTCGTATGGATTTTTTCTTTATATATATACTTAAAGCATAAAAATGAATTTAGCACAATAGTTGTAGATGCTGGCTACTTGTTTATATTTCAAGTTACTAATAGCATTAATAACTGATGGTATAAATAGTCATATTTAATTGCAATTAAATGATCATTTATGTGGGCATGATTATTTCAAAAAATTAAATACTTACCTACATTTGTTCTGAACAGTTTTACATCAAGACCCTTTTAAAAAATATTATTTATGGATATGAAATTAAAGTATTCTTATGCCAGTTTAACCGTTCTAATTTGTCAGACATAGGAGAAGAAACCTGTGGCTCTGTGTATATATATAGATGGATAACCTGTAGCCTATATGCCAGAAAAAGTCTAAGTACTCTTTACGTTTAGCTTTACTTGTCATGTTTTGTTTTATAAAAGTTAATTTGACTTTTTTTTTGGAGTTAAATTGAACTAAATTAGTTCAATATTTTTAAATTTTGATGTTTTAAAACTATGCCAAATATATAATATTACTATAGATGATATAAAATGTTGATCAAAATTCGTATAACTTAACTAAGTGAAATGTGTCAAGAAAAATGAACCAAAAGTGTATAGATATCAAATGAATAAGTTGGACTATAAATATTTATGTCCGTTAAAATCTGTCAAATTAAAACAATGAGGGTAATGAGCATTCCGATGTTTGCTTAATTGGATCAAACAGGCAAATCAAATTCAGCTAAATTATGAGTTGTAATTAATCACCAGCACAATGTCCGACTTATATAAAATCATTTTTCCTTTTTGGTTTATTTGTTCTTTTATAATTTGATTAAATCCAAACCAAACTAATAAATACATTTTTTTTAGTATGTCAGACCATATCAGATAGAGATATTGACTTCTCTACATAAAGGGTATGTCGGGAATATCGAAAGATGTAAGAAATAAGTAGGTAAAATAATTGATCTTCAAATAACTTTTAAGTTGAAAATGCCCAATTTATGATTTTTAGTTTATTTGACTTGAAATACTTTTGTGTTTGAGAAAAACATCAAAATAAGTTTTAAAAAGTGTTTAAGCCAGCTCCCATAGGCTTTAGGCCTCCACAAAGCAATCGATTATAGGGAATTTTCGCAAATACCTATATAATAAATTTAATTATGCGTCATAACTATAGTTTGCATATTTACGGGTTGTAGTTACAGTTTAAGCTGACTCGTTTGTATAATTTGTGGGTGAGTTACATAATTTGTGGGTACGTTTGTATAATTGAGCTATTTTTGTATAAACTCGAAATAATGAATTTATACAAACACAAACATTTGAACTTTAAACAGTTATACAAATTATATCATACAAAATTACATTATACAAAAGTTATACAAATTATATCATATAAATTCCGAATTATACAAACTCGTAAGTCCAACCCACATAATTATCACAACAAGAAAATGAAGGCCCAATTCGTTACAAAAGGGGAAAATGCATAAGTACTCCCCCAGCCTATGCCCAAAATCCCTGAGACACACCTAACCTTTACTAAGGTCCTATTACCCCCCCAAACTTATTTTTTAATTAATTTTTTACCACTTTCGGCTAACGTGGAAAGATAAACCAAATAGGTTGAAAGCTTTGTTCAACACGCGCCGGGCCCCACTTTTTCAACTTTCTAAAAAGTAGCTTTTACACTTCCCAAAATTTCAAAAAGCTCTCCTATTATTTATAATCTACTTTGTTAATATATTTTTAGTTAGTTTATAGATTTTAATGTTTATATATTTTATTTCAAATTTGGGTATGTAAAATTTTGTAAATATTATATATATAATTTTATTTTATTTATAGATAAAAAAAAATATTTATAATCTACTTTGTTAATATATTTTTAGTTAGTTTATAGTTTTCAATGTTTATATATTTTATTTTAAATTTGGGCTTGTAAAATTTTGTAAATATTATATATATAATTTTATTTTATTTATAGATAAAAAAATATTACTTATAATCTACTTTGTGAATATATTTTTAGTTAGTTTATAGCTTTCAATGTTTATATATTTTATTTCAAATTTGGGCTTATAAAATTTTGTAAATATTATATATATAATTTTATTTTATTTATAGATAGTTACACTTTTCCAACTTTATCATAATTGTAGGATACTTATAAGACTAGAAGGTACTCTCTATTAGTGCATATAATTATTTTGTTTGTTCAAACATGTTTTTATTTGTATGCAACCTCAATTTTTATATCAATTATGTAGAAACTTTAATAGTGAATAATTTCGATCATTATTATTAATAGAACATAAGAAGAATTATTACTCAAAATCTTTACGTTAATAAAAATATAAATTGTTGTAACTATTATTTATAGATGATTAAAAAAATAAAATTGGGAAGAAAATAGTAAGTAAAAATTACACGTTATATTAAATTATCTTTACATTAATAAAAAAAGAAATTGTTGTTAGTATTATTTGTAATATAATTAAACAAAAATAACAATGGGAAGAAAATAATAAGTAAAGATTACACGTTGTATTAAAATAATAAGTATTAAAAATTATGATAAATTTTATAATAGTCATAACAGGAATTTACGCAATAATTACTATATTAGAATACTAGAAAAATTGATAAGTTCCTCGACATCTAATCATTGATTAAAATTTAAATTATTATTTTCTTCTGCGAAAGTTTAAGAGATTAAATTAATGTTTTAAAAAATAATATAACAAACTGATTAATTAATTATTTTCAATGATTAATAAGAAAATGTATATAGCAAGTACATGTATTATTATTACATTATTTATATCCACTCTATATTAAATCATTTTTCTATTATAGTTTGACGCAAATTTCAGAATGTAAAGAATGTTTTGGATTCGAAAAATAAATATTCAAAATATACTAACATGTCATTTAATCTTATGATATTTTATATTTCATGTGAAAAAAATTAAATATTAATTTTTTAATATGAAAAATATTAATTTATTAATACAACATAAAAGTAATAAAGGACAATATATAAAAATATTTGAAGTATTTGATATTTTATTAAATTAAAATAATTTTAAATTAATATATAGCCGCGCAACGCGCGGGTACGTATACTGGTGAAGAACAATAATAAAGAAGAAGACAATTGAGTTAATATTTATTTTTTCCAAGTTTATTTTAACACATGACCAATTTTTATTGGTCAGTGTTGTCTAAAAGCTGCACCCACGCGCTTAACATAGGTGAAATCACGGACTCAGCCACGTAGGCCGAAAAGTGGTAAACAATTAACTAAAAAATAAGTTCATGGGGGTAATAGGACCTTAGTAAAGGTTAGATGTGTCTCAGGAATTTTGGGCATAGGCTGGGGGTACTATGCATTTTCCCTTACAAAAGAGAAAAGGTAGCCCAAAATGAAGGCCCAAATGCAGACTGTGCAAAATGTTAAGCAGCTCCCGGCGAGGATCGAACTCGCGACCTTTCGCTTACGAAGCGAACGCACTACCACTATGCTACGGAAGCTTGCACACCTTATTTATTCTATTTATTCGAATTTATAATTGGTTAATTTTGTACAAAACCGAAAATAAATTACTCGAAATTCATCTCTTTGGACGCTCTCTCGATTCACGCTGAATTCAACAGAAAGAAGGTGTGGGAACGAGTTCGAGGTAAAGGCAAATTGGTGTATTAAATTGAATAAAATCTGGAAAAGTACTCGTAAATATTCATATGGAATTGCAGGACAAATATATATTGGATAGTTTGTGGAATTGCATTTTTACAGTAATCTCCCAAATTCGTAACCCTAGACAGATCATTGATAAAATTTGATTATCGAATGCAGCTGTACAATGTGGTACCGAGAGAACTTATTTATTTCTTCAAATGAAATAGCTACTTCAGTTTATGTGAAAAATCATGGATTGGAATAACTTCAGTTATTGATGATGGACAGAAATTTGGTTAAAATATGAACAGAAGCATCTCTGTTTATGCAAATAAAACAGCACATTTTTTTGCTTTCCATTTGCCTTGATACATTTATATCTCACTTTTGCTAGCATCTCATATGTAAAAGTAAAACATTAGATTTGTACATGAAATAGAGCACAGAAGCTTGAACATTTAGTTGGTAAATAGTTGCCTACAATGCCTTCTTGTTCTTATCTGCTGCTGTCTGGCCTCATCACTTATTATTTCTGTAATAAGGTCTTTATATATTAAGCGCTCCACATCCAAAATCATTGATGGAATTTCACCGTCACCGTTTGTCCAATCTTCGGACTGATGCCTCAAATCTGCATTTAGGATACTTATCAAGTCATCTTCTTCAGAGTCCATGCCAACCTTTTTAGCATTGAGTTGGTCTATGTCTGACTGCAGTTCCTTCTGGAGTTGCTGTGCACTTAAATGATCTCGTCCCTGCAATAAACAGATTTCTGAAGCTAGTTTGCAGGAAAGTATCTCATCGACTGTGTCAAAGACGTTCTTTCTGTGCATTTTCTGATTAAACTCAATCCGAGCACTCGTTTTACTGTGTCCAGTTGCTGGCATAACGCGCTCCTCAGTCTGTTCCAGGATATGGAACAACTTCTGATCGATCAAATGGCCGGATGACTGAAGCTGAATGGCCATGGAGACGGAGTCCACGTCCTTGTGAAGGCCAGATGCCAGTAGTATTTTGGTGATGTATCTGTGGTCAGGATTATGATTCTGGCTCAAGGATCCAAACTGGTCAGTACTCATTTCGTAGCTGGAGTCCAGTAGTCTGAGTTGGTTAACCAGGTCCTTAATGCGCTCTAATTTCTTCTGGGTGGTCGCCTCAGTGCCAAGATCCATCCTCGTGTTGTAAGGTGAGTGATCCTGGTAATCTAGGTACCATAACTCATCTGCGGCATCCTCAACTGTTCAGGTGGAAAGGACATAAAAATATTAACAGGCAAGTCTTGCTTGTACATCAAAAATCAATTGTAACATAGTTCTGCTCTGGTTAGTGAAAAGGAAAATAAATAGCTAGATCACTCGTTCGTAGGAGCTTGTCCTAATTTGAGATCTCATGTAATCACTACTCAATCCTCAGCTAAATTATGACAGTAAATAAGAGATACTAACATGCTTTCTGTGAACACTTCAAACTAGCTAAACTAACTGATCTACTTGTGTTGAACATTCAGTCATTTTTCAACAAAGCAATTTGTTAGATTTTCCTTCTCTTTGGAAACATGCTTTCCATTCATTTCTTTGTGTTTATTTCTGGAAGTCATGATTGTTTGTAGTTGGCATCAAAAGCAGATGTTTTACATAGATGCTTTACAGAACTAATGGTAACCATACCTCTAAATGCAGTTGTTTTCTTCTTCACAGGAGATGGTGAATCTTCTTCATAGAATGTGGCATCAAGCACTGAGACAGGACTTGGCTGTTCAATTGTAGAGATTGCAAGTTCAGCCATTGGCCTGTCTTCATTGAGCCTCAATATGTTACTCTGGATCAAGAAAAAGTTAAAAGTCAGTAATTGGCCATGTGTAGGATAAATAGATATGTACACGAAGATAAGTCACTCACTTTGTCTTTAGAATCCTCTAGTCTTTTAGCATTAACCCTAAAGGAGTGATTTCTGCTTGTGACTTCTCCCTCTGCATGTGAGCTCCAACTGTTGTTGCTTTCTGATTGTAAAGAAGCTGCATCACTTTGCTCACTGAAATTTCTTGTGCTGCTGCTGATCTCACTCAATTCCTCATCAACTCGGAGCAGATTGTTGGGTTTTGCTTGCAGTCTCCTTTTTGAAGAGCCTGATTCTTTGGATTGCTTAATTGATTGACGTCTGACCCTGCTGAATTCTGGTGATGTAGTGGTTGGACAAGATTGCTTCTTCTTCTGTAGTGGTCTTGGACTTACAGTTCCAGAATTCCTTCCTAATGCAGGATAGCTTCCTTCCTTTTGTTGGCGTAATGTTGGGTTTTGCACTGCCCTTGATGTTCCTTCTTTGATCTTCCTGTCTGGTGAAGGAAGAAGCCAACCAGACTCTCTGATATTTTTTGCTCTAGGTGTCACATCTTTCCAAGTTTTCTTGTCAGCTGTATCCTCTCTGTTATATACAAGGTCTTTAGTGAAGAGTTCTTGAAATTTGGTGACATTTGCAGTTAAGAAAGGGGAACATGCAATACAAATGTTATCACTTAGTTTGGATTGTTTCATAGTTATATTTAAAGATTCTGACCTTTTTGGTGGACGAGTTCCCTTTATGGTTGGAGAGAGCAGGTTGCATTGCTGCCTTTTCTGCACTATTTCCAAGTTCGCATCAGAGTCTGCCTGCTCTTCTGTTTGGACATCTAACCTTGCTCTTGTCTTCTGCATTGCTTCAAGAATCTGCTTCAGAGCTCTGAGATCCTTTCCAGACTTTCTGAACTCAAGTTCAGTTATCCTTTTCTCCATTTCACCATACACCGAGAAAGATAGCTTTGGACTCTGAATTGACAGTTCCACATCTGTGTTTCTTGCAGATGACTTGAGGGAGGTTCTGCTGGCCTCCGGTTGCCTCCAGGGAGCAGGTTCTAGTGGAAGCCGTGAAGTTGATGCTGCTCTCATGATTAAATTGGTAGATTTCATTCGTGGGGAGCCGAAATCCTTTTCATTAATCTGTGAGAACCGCGTGACTTGATTATTCTTGCTCTTTTCAGCTGTTTTTGTCGATACTGAAACAGAATCTTTGGTAGAGAAAGACTTAGGTATCACTGTCTCGACTTCATTTGAGGGAATGGGATTTGGTAGAGCTTCCAACCCCATAAGCTTTGCTACAACACTGGAAGATCTTTTGTGATCCCCTAAAAGAAAATTTGATCTGGATTCAGAGGCTGAGCTCCTGAAGGACTGTTCTCTACTGTCCAGTGAAAGTCTGGGAAGGTCCTTTAGCCTTATTGAAGAACGCATCTCTTCTCTCGAGTCTCTTTCATCGTATGAGAAACGTGGATGATCTCTTGGTGCATGCTTTAGATCATCTTTTGAATTGCGAGGTGCTTCACGAAACTTAGCAGTTAAGTTCCTAGTTCCATCCGATGGCTTCCCACAGTTTGACTGCTGAAATGGCCTTGGAGAATCAATGTGCTTCATAACATGGACTTTACCTTCTACTTTGGTGACAGTTTTTACAGATAAACTACGGGCTTCCCTGTGCATTGAGTCCTTGACAACATCCCGGAAGTCAGGAGATTGCCGTCCAGAATGAGATGGAGAACTTGGTTGCTTGTATGGCAGGGTTTTCGAAGGAGATTCTGATAAGTTTCTTTGACCGCAAAGAGGTTGCTCTTGTTGTGGTCTTTTACTTTGTTCAACTTTTGGGTTAGCCTTGGATGACTCACTTGAGTGCGATACTTTGTTCTTGGCTACATCCCTTGGAGTCTTTTCCTGCAAATGCCAATCACATATTGGTAAGTTTTTTATGTGTGCTAGTTTAATGTTATCTTGATGAATGAAATTGTTCAAAATCTTACCGTAGCCAATTGCATTGTACATTTGGTCTCCATCTTGTCCGTGGCACCTTCAGGACACATGAACCAGTGGTGAGATTTTCTAATTTAATTAAACTAAAGGAACTAACTATATGATTTATGATATTTATATCAAGATAACAATGTGTGTGCGGAATTTTTTTTGTGATTTAGAATATTTATAAGCTAGTAGAAGTGCGGAAGTACATCATTATGCTTCAGCAGGAGAAAATCGAAGTTTTTGTATGCTCTACTACTTAACTGAAGTCTGGAAGTAGTATATCTGTATTTGGATATGTAAACACGAGATTGTCTTAAATGCGTATGAAAGTATACAAGAGGGCAAAAAGAACCAGAATGCTGATACTTGTAGTTAGCACATGTTAAAGATAATTGCTTCGGTTAAGTAGTCAATTCTGAATCTTAAGGTGGCGTTTATTTGATCTTTTCCAGAACTTGAATATGCAAAGTTCTTTTTTAGTTTTCGAAAGAGTATTTGTTCCACTTGTTCTTCAAAGACTTGAAAAACTGAGTTTGTGAAATTAGTTTTTTAAAAAACTTCAAAATAAAGCCAAGTTTGCATAATGGATTCCTTGATTAAGTTCCTACATTTCCAGCCTTCCTAAACCAATGTGATGTCTAATAATCTTGAAAATGAAAATATTTTGATGCTTTACTTTGTTTTCTCGCTATTATTATTGCTAACTATCCATAAAAAGTGGTTTGCTATTGCCTTTCATCTCTTCTTGAAGCCAGGTCCTCAAATTTACCCTGATTACGTATTTCCACTTTTTCCTAAGAAAGATATTATTCCCTCGTACCAAGAAAATGATAGTATTGGACAAATTATTTAATTATTGAAAAAATAAATTTCATATTCAGAATCTTCACAAGGACTATAGATCGATCGCAATATAAACTATGAATATTCAAGAAAATAATTTGATTTCCGATTACCAATGGTGTCATGACAGAATTAGTTTGACAAAGACAAATTCTGCACAAGGAGTTTAGAGGGAGAAAAGAACAAAATTGACAGAATTGAGAGGCTTTATTGTATTTGATTTATTCACTTGCAAAATTGCAGAATAGGAAAAATACATTTTTTTGGTCAGAAAAAGTAGTACCTGTGAGTAGCCTTTTGTGATTTTGACCATGGAGATGTTTGCCAATGAGGAAATGGTGTCTATCAAACAATTGGAATAACCCATTCATGCATCCAATTTTCTTGTGCAGATCTTTGTTCTCCTCTGTTATAGAAGATAACATTCTTGCTGACATTTTTGTTGCTTTCTCAAAGTCCAAAATTGGCAGAAATCATATGGCCTTGTGCACTTCCTATGAACAACAAGCAGAGGATATTGAAAAAACTATTAATAGTAACTCATTTTTCTTGAATTTCATTCATTATTTATTTTAGATATGAAACTTAAAGACTTACCAGTGAAAAAAAAAGAAGAACTTTTTGCAGGGACAGACAGAAAAACGTAGTCAGAGTAAACTTAGCACAAATGTGGTGCTTCTAGATTGAGAAAAATATGCAGCTGCAGAGTAGCAGAAATCTCCAGACCCAAGAACAGATGTTTTATTCACACAACAAAATGGTAAGAATGTTTCTTGCCTAAGAAAGGTTATGTTCTGTGAACAGAGAGAAAGAGAGTTTTTATGTGTGTGAAATGTGGAAATATTTGCAATGAATGTGGCATATGCATTATATATATAAAAACTATAGAGTAGCTGGCTTAGAATGATAGAGAAGATGGCGGGCAGAGTGGAAGAAAGAGATAGTTAATTATTCTGTTTACGCTAAATCATACTATAACTTAGTTTTATATTTATTGATTTAACGTAAACATAAAATAAATATATATTTGCATAAAAAGAGTGTTATGTGGATATGGTCTGGAGGAGGTGGGTCGGTCTGTCTAGTGTGGGGGAGAGGTGGGTCATTTCTACACAGTTTCATCATTTCATGTGGACAAAATAATGAGTAGAGAGGTGGGTCTGTAGAGTGGGTAGGGGGTTAAGGAGTCTGTAGAATGGATCTCTCTTTTTCAAGTCACACTACTAGTTGTATTAGATACATGGGCATGTGGAGTTTGTCAGATTAAATGTAAGAAAGTGGAATTATGTACTGGCAATACTGCCTCACAGAAGTCTTTAAAGTCCTTTTGTTCAACCTTACACAATTTGACCTTATTGCCCTTCTAAAAACTCTATGAACATGAACATGATCATCATGATGCTGCCATATGGCATTTGGCAGATAATGCTTTCAAATTTCTCTGTGGGTTTTCATTTAATACTCTTAAATATATCTGTTCATCGAATTATGCCTCACTTTCACAGCCTGGCTATGCCTAAATATTTGTCTATCGTGTTTTTATTTGGAGCTGACTCGTTTACCTCCAAATATTCCTGATATATATCATGTTCCTTCTTCTTTTTTCAAATAAAATGATTCGAAGCCCCTTTCACTAAAATGTGCAACTTCTTATCTTAGTGTAAGACTTGGTGAGTAGTGTTACTCGATAGTTGATATTAATGTGAAGAAAAATAGCAAATAATAATCGATAAGCATTATTTCATGATATGCATTTGTGTGCCAAGTGGACAAAGCCGCCCTTGATCATATGGGTGTTCATCTTTTTGTGTACGAAGCTTTGCAAGTTAGCAATGATGCTTTTTTTGTTCCTTTTTCATAGTGTACGTCTCTCTACTGTTTGTTTATCCCTCTTAATTGAACTGCGATCTATTTAAAGCTCATGTGTCAGTGATTTTTACTTGCTGTTTACTGAGGTAAAATTTTGCGGTTGTAAAAATTCTCATTATTTCTTTCATACGGTGACACTTTTAAACTTTGCATTAATTATTAGTTTCATCTCCAAATTATTAACAGTTTTAAAAAACGTCATTTACTTGACTAACTGAACTCAAATACACTCGAACTTAAGTCTGTTGAAATAATCTTACATGAGTCTAATATTCCCTCAGTTCCTAATTATTTGTTCACTTTTGAATTGACACAACTGTTAAGAAAACAATGATTGACATAGTGAATTTTCTATTTTAGCCCTATTAATTATGAAGTTGATAAATTAAAAATTTTAGATTTTCAATAAATTCTACTTTTTTCAAAGTAATTAATTGAGGATCTAATAGATAAAAAAAATTGTCATTTCTTGATTTGTCAAAATGGACAAATAATTAGAGACAGAGGGAATATAATTTAACCGGTTATTATAAGTTACTTGATCATCACTTCAAGGTTACTCATCCACACTGTAGTTAAACAATTACTCTTACTTAATAATTATTAGCATTAAAGGGTTCTAAAGGTACATATTGTATTATACTAGCAAGTAACATCCATTATGCTACAAATTTCAATTCAATATTATGTAATGGCGCTTTGTTTATTATTTTTGGCTTATATTAAATTAAAGAACCCAAAAGGACCGCTAATTATTATTTTTTGCTTTGGTCTAAGGTGGGGGCGTGTTCGGGGATTGAATAAAAATTAGTGCCAGTCGATGCTTCTTTTGTTTTCATATTCATTTTCTTATTCTTGACTATATACACAATAATAAAATTATTAGTATTCCATAAAATACGTTGACTGGATTTTAAAATGAATTGAAGAAAGAAGTCGAAATAACCCCGTAATTTCTAGCTTATATACATTTTTTTAACTAAGTTTTCTCTAATAGTAAATTCCAAATGACAAATGAACAATTTATCATTTGATGACAATAAAAACATACGCGTTTGTTCAAGTAGTAGTAATAGATAAAAGGTCCAAACAGTACCAGGGCTTGTAAATGGCACTGTTTCAAATTCACTCTTTTGGTTCATTGACTACCAAAACTAAGGTGCAGTATAGATATTTTGATTAAATCAGTAAAAAAAAAAAAAAAATAGTCTTTCATTATTTTAGTAAGAATTTGTTTCAAGCTATGCATACAATAGTAAATGAGTGAAAAAATCATGTTTTATGACACAAATTTTCCGTTGGTCTCCCAATCCATATAGAACATCAAAAATTATTTTACTATGGACCTCTTTGTTCAAACAGCTAGTACAATTGGGATTGCATTGACCAACAGAACTAACAGTGATGTTTCTCATTGAAAATTCAAAGAAAGAATTTACTAATAACTTGTTTTCTAATCAATGTACTGATTCTAAGTATAATATTTATTATTAGCTGTGTGATAATTTAACGCGTTACAGAAAAATACAAAAGGTTAGATTGTTCTGGTAAGTACTACTACAAATCTTCAATTCCAATATCTACTATTTTCTTCAATCTTCTCTAAGCTAGCTGGTGTCTGTACTGAATATTTGTTAAATTGTCATATGCCTTTGCAACACATTTAATCCTTGTCGAGTTTTGTCACCGATGTATTCTTCTCAGACAATGACACTACTCAATTCAAGTTGCTATCCAAATATAATATTTGAGCTGATATGCTGTCGTGTTTGAGTCTATGAATAAATTCTTAATAGAAAGTGGTTTAATTCATTTTTCAGACAAATATAAGTGTGAATTTAGATTTATCGAATTAATAAATTTAAAATACAGGATACCTAAACAAAACAAAATAAAATGGTAATATCTAACTTGATAATCAATCCATCCTTGTCTAGTTAAATGACAAAATTATTTCTTTATCTTGTATATTCTTCACCGCTATATTTTAAGTAAATTATTGTAAGGTAATTAGCTTGTTCATTGTGGAAAATATTCAATTACTTTTAAATCATTAACACTTTTTTTATTAGTTGGAGCTATTAAATAATATTAATGGCATAATACTAAGAAAGAAAAAGTTAGGGAAGTTTTCAATTATCATTAAAATAGTCACAAAGTTAGCAAGAGATTTTTTTAATTTGGTAACAAGAACATAATTCTTTGATACGTTGAAAGTAAATATCGCTCCATTATAATAGCCAACAAATCATACAAAAGATATATATTACATTTGATAAAACTCCTTGCAACGAGCTCAGGAGATCTTTTGCTCAATTAACTTGACCGTTTCACTACCGTCAAGTTGAATGACCAATTATTTTAAAACGATTGCTCAATTAATTGGGTCCACGTAACCGTAACGACCTCTCAGTATATATTTACTCTATACTATATTTATACTAGTTGTAAATTAAACAAATGGTTAGTAGGCATTTCGTGCATATTATTTATTTCTAGCTCTAATTCTCTGCAGTACAATTATAACTATAATTATTAGTTTCATCCATGCGGATTCAATTATGTATGGGACGTATTTATACAACAAAAAAATGGACCCCATAGTATATTCATTCTCATTATTATTACTAGTATTATTATATTTATAGCATAAGCCTATAATAAAGTTGTAACGGACCCTATAAGGAATTTCATTTTTGGCCGCTATTACTTGAGTCATTTAGCTTGGAAAAGTACAATTGCGTGTAGTATTATTCAGTACCAAATAAAGCTAGCTCACTAGCTAACTATTATTGTTATTATTTTTAGGTTTCTTTGTCTTAACCATAATTATAATCTATATATATATGTCCAATTCCTAAAAATAGGTAACATAGCTTTTATCATTTGTGTTGGATTTAAGTGACTGCTTAACTGCAAATAGCACGACCCATGCCTATGTTGTAACATGCTTCCATGTTCTGTTGTTATGGAATTGTAGGGTTATCTTTTAAAACAAGTTTAATTAGGCCAATCCCCCCCCCCCCCCCCCATAAGCACAAACAGAGAGACTAATTAATACTGTACAATCGATATATATTATAAAATGTATTTATTTTTTCTCGTCTGTTGGAGAGAAGTTGGAACATAATTGTTTTTGATCGTTGCTTTCAAGTTTGGATTTTGACATTCTTCTTGCATATTTTTTTTTAAAAAAATCTTATTAAAAAATTTGAATCTGCCACTCTCCCATTTTACTATACTCGAAGATTTTTTTTAAGGTAAAGTAGAAAAAAGTATATAAAGAAATAGTAGAGAAAAAAAATTAGAGTCAAATTCGTAATACCTAATGTCTTGAAGAAATCGAAAACCTTCATAACCACTAAAAGTTGAAAAGTATGGACGAGCTTACCTTATATTAATTTTGAGGAAAATTATTTGAAGATGTTGGATATGCATGTGCGTTAATTAACTGTTATGTATTTAATTTGTTTTATGCATCATGAGGCTATATAGTGGTTAGGTTACATAGTACTATGAATGCGCACCTATATATTTGAAAGCGATCAACAACCAAATGGTTTAAATTTACCATTTCAATTGATTTATTTGGCTCTCACGCTCAATTACTTAAGGTAAATTCTCATATATTTTTTTCGTATTTAATATTTATATCAAATCACATTA